CTGGATACAAATCTCCCCAAATCATGAAGAATGGAAATATCAAGTTATTTAACCACAAAAGTTGTATTTAACTTGGTCCTGGCTTCCATGTTTTATTATTTTATCTTAATGATTCTTGTTTTATAAATCTTGAAAGAAGGAATATCTGAGTCAACCTTGTCAGAAATTTGTATCAAGCCTGTAACACTGTGATATTGCAATTGGAGCACTAACCACCGAACTATAATGGCTATGCCACTGTTTATGCTACCCCATATTGCAAGTGCTTATCAGGTTCTGCTGAACTATATACCATTATTTAGAACATAATCCATGTTCAATCTCTACTAATATAAGGTTTATTAAAAAAAAATAAAAAAATGATATGCATATGGTTATCTCTACACCGGTGATAGTTAACGTTGTCACTGCAGATGTTTGTGAACTACAATACCCAAGATTTTTGTAAAGACCCCCTAAGGTGACATGTAAGCTTGTACTGTGGGGCTGGAAGATAAATTAAGATATAATTACCCAAAACTCTACCATGTGGGCATCACCATCTCGTTCCCAGGGTCTTCCTTCAGTTCCTGGTCCTTTGTCTGCCAGGAGTGTACATCATTGTTGTACATTAGAGCACAAAACAGACATCTATGGAAGATCTGGTGAGACTTCAGGATTCTTCTTGGAAAGCCTTGGGCGTTGTGAGAAAAGGTGCCTATTTCTATATCAATGTCAACGTGCCGGCGAGAGTTGACAGCTGTAACGCAAGCTTCTGGAAAACTTGGCAACTAAACATAGGGCAAAGTAGTCCATATTTTATCTTTTGAATTGTGTTGAAATTTCAATTAAATTATTTTGCAGCCAATGTGACAGAGCTGCTTAAAGATTGTGTTCAATGTACTAAAACATAGCAAACTACATATGTAATATGTATGTTGGATAACATGTATTTTTTGACTGCTGTCTGTTTTGCTAGTTGTTTATCTGTAAATTTCTTAATTCATTCCACATTCTTATATTTTTGTTTTATTTAATGTTTGTGATGAGTGATACAAGAAATCACAGATAAAGTAGGGTTTTGTGTGACAGAGAATAAAGCAAAGACAATGTTATATGCAACATTCACATCCAATTTTAATGAAAATAAAAATCCAAGTGAAATGTAACTGTGAATATTGTGTGCCATAAAAGAAATGGAGCAGCAGCCCAAAATGCTGGTGGTATAACAACAGTTATACAAAGAAGATACTCCACTAAAACAATATAGGCTCAACTGGAATGAGGTACCTATAACCAGTGGCAGAACGAATGTAGAGAGGGCCCTGGTGCAAGAAAGTTTTTTTGGGTGCCCCTCTAGTGCAAGAGTGGCCAAAAAGTAGATCTCCATCTGTCTAACAACTCCAACGATGCTATGCCAGCTGGGGATTTACCATTTGCCCATTTGCCCTTACAGGGTTGTGTTTGCGAGCAGTGTTTGTGCGTTTGAATGTTCTTATATAGAGTATATGTGTGCACACAGGGGTGTATTTGTATGTACTGTTGCCATTGGGATGCAGTGTTGTGCTTGTGTTTGCGTTTGAATGTAGGGGTGTATTTGTATTTAATGTTGGTTTTGAAATGTAAGTGTGCTTTTGTGTGCAGTATTGGTGTTTGGGTGAAGAGGTGTGTTTGTATATAAATTTGGAGTTTAAATGTAATGCCTGTGTTAGATTGCAGGAGTGTGTTTGCATGTTGTGTTGTTGTTTCATTGCTTGGATGTATGCACATACACTGTCACATACATACATATTTACACAGATATACATACACATTAACACACAGATACACACGCATAAACACACTAACACACACAAATTCATATACATCCCGACACATGCACACATCCTGACTCAGGTACACACTGACATATATGCACAAGCTGACACGCGGATACACACACACTGACATGTATACACACACAGATGCGCACCCTGACACACACACACTGACCTACATACTTACCCAGGTATGCATACACAGATACATATATACACACTGACACAAACACAAAGATACACACACTGACACATGCAAACACAGACACACACACAGTGACAGATACACATACATACACACACACACACACACACACTCAAACACACACTGTGACACAGCTACACACACACACACAGTGACACAGCTACACACACTGATACAGCTACACACATACTCAAACAAACACACACACACACTCAGACACACACAGTGACACAGATACACACACACTCAGGCACACACAGTGAAACAGCTACACACACACACACACACACACACACACACACACACAGTGACACAGATACACAAAAAATGTTGATATAATCACATAAATGTAAATTTGTATATTTGCAGCTTCCCTCCTGTTAGCTTACCTTTTTTTTCCAGGAGGGAGGCTTCGTGGAGTCCTGTTGCTGCTGGCTGAGGGGAGAGAGTGTAGTGGTGTGCTCCTGTCTCTATCAGGTATCAGATCATGAAGCAGTGTCCTCTCCACCTCTTAGAACAAAAGGGACTAGCATATGGAGGTTACACGTGGTTGTGGAAGTAACGCCTGTGGGATCTGTTGTAGTAGTTGTAAGGCCTAAGGTCACGAAAAATGTTAATTGTTGAGTAACTGAAACTTATATATTTTCCCCACTGTAACAAAGATCTAGGTAGGTCCTGATAGAGAGTGAGTTGAGAGGATTCAAACTCATAAGGCATCTATTTCCATCATAATAAGGCATTCATGCAGTGACGTTTGACTGTGCGCTATCACATCTCAAGTTGTATTTAGAAATACAGTAAGTCCTATCAAAGATAATCTTCTTGATTTGACCAGGGGGAAGAATGGATGCCATGAGATGTATGCCTTGGATAGTGTAGGATACCCCTACTTTTTATATTTTTGCCACTGCTTCTGTCAATTAGCATGCCTACTCACAGAGTAAATGTATTCTTTAGAGATTGGAGATGGTGCATAGTTTCTTGCACAGAAGACATATGTTGATGAAGGTATGTTATATCTGTTACATCCTCCTCTGAGGTTTTGATTCTGTCAGTGACTACTTGAGCATCTGCCTTTAATAAAGCCATTTCCACCATGAACAGATTTTGGATAACCTGGACGAGTTTTTGAAAGTTCTGCTTACATGCAGGAGAATTTGCCCCACGGACATCTGGGAATGCAGAGGGAGTAGATGGTGATGGTATAGAATCAGCCATGGTAAGATCACTGTTTCAGGCACAGGCCTCAGGGCCCTCAAGGTTAGCCATTTTTGTGTTTGAGTGGCAGTGAACAGGATGCCAAAGTCTTGTGTGTCAATGTGAGCACTTACCTAGAGTCATTGGAATAAACGGCTCATCGATATAGTGGTTACTGGTGACAAATGTAAGCTGAGACTGTGCAGTGTGTCGCTTGCAAAACATGTGGCACCAAGAAGGGGAATGTTAAGGTCGGCCCCAGAGCTTTGGTGCTGCTTTTTACTGGCCCGTCAAAGAAAGGTATTGATCGGTAGCTTTGAGTGCCAGAAGCTAGAGATAATTGGAGCTCCACCTGGAAGTAGGAGTGAGATTAAAATATTTAGCAGATTTCTTCAACAATTGCAGGAGTTGCACAATATAATATCCACTTTGTCCCATAGCTAGATAATGCTAGACTTGATCAGTCTCTCTCTCACACACTAGCATCCTTCTTAAAAATTGGGTTTTATTTATTATTATTTTTAAATGGTAAATGGGAGAGAGTCTAAAGTGTTGGAGGAATGAAGGGACGGAGGGTTGAATGAGAGCAGGCAAGTCTTTTTTTTAACAGTGGAGGACGAGGATGGGACATTTCATATTTACTGGTTAGAATGTGTAGATTTGGGTAACACTCTAAAGTGATTTATGTGTAAGTCCTAGATGTTTTTAAATGAACCCAATAGGAAGACAGTGTAAGATTCACATAAAACCTATAGGAAGCCAGTGTAGGACTGACATAAAACCTATAGGAGGCCAGTGTAGGATTGACATGAAACCTATAGGAAGTCAGTGTAGGACTGGCATAAAATCTATAGGAGGCCGGTGTAGGATTGACATGAAACCTATAGGAGGCCAGTGTAGGATTGACATGAAACCTATAGGAGGCCAGTGTAGGATTGACATGAAACCTATAGGAAGCCAGTGTAGGATTGACATGAAACCTATAGGAGGCCGGTGTAGGATTGACATAAAACCTATAGGAAGTCAGTGTAGGACTGACATGAAACCTATAGGAGGCCGGTGTAGGATTGACATGAAACCTATAGGAGGCCAGTGTAGGACTGACATGAAACCTATAGGAAGCCAGTGTAGGACTGACATGAAACCTATAGGAGGCCAGTGTAGGATTGACATGAAACCTATAGGAAGCCAGTGTAGGATTGACATGAAACCTATAGGAGGCCAGTGTAGGATTGACATGAAACCTATAGGAAGCCAGTGTAGGATTGACATGAAACCTATAGGAGGCCAGTGTAGGACTGACATGAAACCTATAGGAGGCCAGTGTAGGATTGACATAAAACCTATAGGAAGCCAGTGTAGGATTGACATAAAACCTATAGGTAGCCAGTGTAAGATTCACATAAATTGAATAGGAAGTCAGTGTAGGACTGGCATAAAACCTATAGGAGGCCGGTGTAGGATTGACATGAAACCTATAGGAAGCCAGTGTAGGATTGACATGAAACCTATAGGAAGCCAGTGTAGGATTGACATGAAACCTATAGGAGGCCAGTGTAGGATTGACATGAAACCTATAGGAGGCCAGTGTAGGGAGTTGGCATGAGAGCCTAGGGAAGCCAGTGGCAAGTTGACACGTGAAACTGGGAGGCCAGTGGGATTGACATGGAAACACAGGAGGCCAGTGCCAGGACTGACATGAAACACAGGAGGCCAGTGTACAGGACTGACACCAAAACACCAGAAGCAGCAGGTAGCAAAAGATTCACATAAATTGAATAGGAAGTCAGTGTAGGATTGACATGAAACCTATAGGAGGCCGGTGTAGGATTGACATGAAACCTATAGGAGGCCAGTGTAGGACTGACATGAAACCTATAGGAAGCCAGTGTAGGATTGACATGAAACCTATAGGAGGCCAGTGTAGGATTGACATGAAACCTATAGGAGGCCAGTGTAGGATTGACATGAAACCTATAGGAGGCCAGTGTAGGATTGACATGAAACCTATAGGAAGTCAGTGTAGGATTGACATGAAACCTATAGGAAGCCAGTGTAGGATTGACATGAAACCTATAGGAGGCCAGTGTAGGATTGACATGAAACCTATAGGAAGTCAGTGTAGGATTGACATGAAACCTATAGGAAGTCAGTGTAGGATTGACATGAAACCTATAGGAGGCCGGTGTAGGATTGACATGAAACCTATAGGAGGCCAGTGTAGGATTGACATGAAACCTATAGGAGGCCAGTGTAAGATTGACATGAAACCTATAGGAAGCCAGTGTAGGATTGACATAAAACCTATAGGAGGCCAGTGTAGGACTGACATGAAACCTATAGGAAGCCAGTGGAGGATTGACATGAAACCTATAGGAGGCCAGTGTAGGATTGACATGAAACCTATAGGAAGCCAGTGTAGGATTGACATAAAACCTATAGGTAGCCAGTGTAAGATTCACATAAATTGAATAGGAAGTCAGTGTAGGACTGGCATGAAACCTATAGGAGGCCAGTGTAGGACTGACATGAAACCTATAGGAGGCCAATGTAGGACTGACATAAAACCTATAGGAAGTCAGTGTAGGATTGACATGAAACCTATAGGAAGTCAGTGTAGGACTGACATGAAACCTATAGGAAGTCAGTGTAGGATTGACATGAAACCTATAGGAGGCCAGTGTAAGATTGACATGAAACCTATAGGAAGTCAGTGTAGGATTGACATGAAACCTATAGGAAGTCAGTGTAGGACGGACATGAAACCTATAGGAGGCCAGTGCAGGACTGACATGAAACCTATAGGAGGCCGGTGTAGGATTGACATGAAACCTATAGGAAGCCAGTGCAGGACTGACATGAAACCTATAGGAAGTCAGTGTAGGATTGACATGAAACCTATAGGAGGCCAGTGTAGGATTGACATGAAACCTATAGGAGGCCAGTGTAGGACTGACATGAAACCTATAGGAAGTCAGTGTAGGATTGACATGAAACCTATAGGAGGCCAGTGTTGGATTCACATAAATTGAATAGGAAGTCAGTGTAGGACTGACATGAAACCTATAGGAAGCCAGTGGAGGATTGACATGAAACCTATAGGAAGCCAGTGTAGGATTGACATGAAACCTATAGGAGGCCAGTGTAGGATTGACATAAAACCTATAGGAGGCCAGTGTAGGATTGACATAAAACCTATAGGTAGCCAGTGTAAGATTCATATAAATTGAATAGGAAGTCAGTGTAGGACTGGCATAAAACCTATAGGAAGTCAGTGTAGGACTGGCATAAAACCTATAGGAAGTCAGTGTAGGACTGGCATAAAATCTATAGGAGGCCGGTGTAGGATTGACATAGTTACATAGTTACATAGTTACATAGTTACATAGCTGAAAAGAGACTTGCGTCCATCAAGTTCAGCCTTCCTCACATTTGTTTTTTGCTGTTGATCCAAAAGAAGGCAAAAAAAAAACCCAGTTTGAAGCACAATTTTGCAACAAGCTAGGAAAAAATTTTCTTCTTGACCCCAGAATGGCAGTCAGATTTATCCTTGGATCAAACAGTTATTACCCTACATTGAAAGATTATATCCTTGAATATTCTGTTTTTGCAAGTATGCATCTAGTAGCCGTTTGAACATCTTATGGACTCTGATAAAACCACTTCTTCAGGCAGAAAATTCCACATCCTATTGTTCTTACAGTAAAAAAACCTTTCCTTTGCCTTAGACGAAATCTTCTTTCTTCCAGTCTAAACTCATGGCCTCGTGTCCTATGTAAAGTCCGGTTTATGAATAGATTTCCACACAATGGTTTGTATTGGCCCCGAATATATTTGTATAATGTTATCATATCCCCTCTCAGGCGACGTTTTTCTAAACTAAATAGGTTTAAACATGAAACCTATAGGAGGCCAGTGTAGGATTGACATGAAAACCTATAGGAGGCCAGTGTAGGACTGACATAAAACCTATAGGAGGCCGATGTAGGACTGACATAAAATCTATAGGAGGCCAGTGTAGGACTGACATAAAACCTATAGGAAGTCAGTGTAGGACTGGCATAAAATCTATAGGAGGCCGGTGTAGGATTGACATGAAACCTATAGGAGGCCAGTGTAGGATTGACATGAAACCTATAGGAAGTCAGTGTAGGATTGACATGAAACCTATAGGAAGCCAATGTAGGACTGACATAAAACCTATAGGAAGTCAGTGTAGGATTGACATGAAACCTATAGGAAGTCAGTGTAGGACTGACATGAAACCTATAGGAAGCCAGTGTAGGATTGACATGAAACCTATAGGAGGCCAGTGTAGGACTGACATGAAACCTATAGGATGCCAGTGTAGGATTGACATGAAACCTATAGGAGGCCAGTGTAGGATTGACATGAAACCTATAGGAAGCCAATGTAGGACTGACATAAAACCTATAGGAAGTCAGTGTAGGATTGACATGAAACCTATAGGAAGTCAGTGTAGGACTGACATGAAACCTATAGGAAGCCAGTGTAGGAATGACATGAAACCTATAGGAGGCCGGTGCAGGACTGACATGAAACCTATAGGAGGCCGGTGTAGGATTGACATGAAACCTATAGGAGGCCGGTGTAGGACTGACATGAAACCTATAGGAAGCCAGTGCAGGACTGACATGAAACCTATAGGAAGTCAGTGTAGGATTGACATGAAACCTATAGGAGGCCAGTGTAGGATTGACATGAAACCTATAGGAGGCCAGTGTAGGACTGACATGAAACCTATAGGAAGTCAGTGTAGGATTGACATGAAACCTATAGGAGGCCAGTGTTGGATTGACATGAAACCTATAGGAGGCCGGTGTAGGATTGACATGAAACCTATAGGAGGCCGGTGTAGGACTGACATGAAACCTATAGGAAGCCAGTGTAGGATTGACATGAAACCTATAGGAGGAAACCTATAGGAAGGTGTAGGATTGACATGAAACCTATAGGAGCCGGTGTAGGATTGACATGAAACCTATAGGAGGCCAGTGTAGGATTGACATGAAACCTATAGGAAGCCAGTGTAGGATTGACATGAAACCTATAGGAAGCCAGTGTAGGATTGACATGAAACCTATATAGGATTGACATGAAACCTATAGGAAGCCAGTGTAGGATTGACATAAAACCTATAGGAAGCCAGTGTAAGATTCACATAAATTGAATAGGAAGTCAGTGTAGGATTGACATGAAACCTATAGGAGGCCGGTGTAGGATTGACATGAAACCTATAGGAGGCCAGTGTAGGACTGACATGAAACCTATAGGAAGCCAGTGTAGGATTGACATGAAACCTATAGGAGGCCAGTGTAGGATTGACATGAAACCTATAGGAAGCCAGTGTAGGATTGACATGAAACCTATAGGAGGCCAGTGTAGGACTGACATGAAACCTATAGGAGGCCAGTGTAGGATTGACATAAAACCTATAGGAAGCCAGTGTAGGATTGACATAAAACCTTTAGGTAGCCAGTGTAAGATTCACATAAATTGAATAGGAAGTCAGTGTAGGACTGGCATAAAACCTATAGGAGGCCAGTGTAGGACTGGCATAAAACCTATAGGAAGTCAGTGTAGGACTGGCATAAAATCTATAGGAGGCCGGTGTAGGATTGACATGAAACCTATAGGAGGCCAGTGTAGGATTGACATGAAACCTATAGGAAGTCAGTGTAGGATTGACATAAAACCTATAGGAAGTCAGTGTAGGATTGACATGAAACCTATAGGAGGCCAGTGTAGGATTGACATGAAACCTATAGGAAGTCAGTGTAGGACTGAAATGAAACCTATAGGAAGTCAGTGTAGGACTGAAATGAAACCTATAGGAAGTCAGTGTAGGATTGACATGAAACCTATAGGAAGTCAGTGTAGGATTGACATGAAACCTATAGGAGGCCAGTGTAGGATTGACATAAAACCTATAGGAGGCCAGTGTAGGACTGACATGAAACCTATAGGAAGCCAGTGTAGGATTGACATAAAACCTATAGGTAGCCAGTGTTAGATTCACATAAATTGAATAGGAAGTCAGTGTAGGACTGGCATAAAACCTATAGGAGGCCAGTGTAGGACTGGCATAAAACCTATAGGAAGTCAGTGTAGGACTGGCATAAAATCTATAGGAGGCCGGTGTAGGATTGACATGAAACCTATAGGAGGCCAGTGTAGGATTGACATGAAACCTATAGGAAGCCAGTGTAGGATTGACATGAAACCTATAGGAAGCCAATGTAGGACTGACATAAAACCTATAGGAAGTCAGTGTAGGATTGACATGAAACCTATAGGAAGTCAGTGTAGGACTGACATGAAACCTATAGGAAGCCAGTGTAGGAATGACATGAAACCTATAGGAGGCCGGTGTAGGATTGACATGAAACCTATAGGAAGTCAGTGTAGGATTGACATGAAACCTATAGGAGGCCAGTGTAGGATTGACATGAAACCTATAGGAGGCCGGTGTAGGATTGACATGAAACCTATAGGAAGCCAGTGTAGGATTGACATAAAACCTATAGGAAGCCAGTGTAGGATTGACATGAAACCTATAGGAGGCCGGTGTAGGATTGACATAAACACTTGTGTCCTACTAACCTGGATTTTTTTCTCTTAGTGTCCCACCATGAAGTGGGATTTCTTTAAACGCTCCCTTGCTGGACAAGGCACAAGGAAGACAGTTTTGCTTGGGCAGTCTGGTCTAATACTGTGCCAGAGGAATACATTTTCTTAATCTTCAATTACTGGTTATAACTGAGTAACCCACATGTGGCTAATGAATTAGTGGCTGACACACCACTGATGACTACACCAAGTTACACTCCCATCATCAGGGCCAGATTTCTTATTAGATATAGTATGAATCATATCTTGTAGGGGCTGCCTATTTTCAGGACCTATAATGTACCTTTTTGAAGCCTTCTGAGAACCCCTAGCCACCCTAGTGGAAGGAGGGGACATGTTATTATTTTGGGGGAGGGACAATGGCATGTCCACCTCTCCTTTTTATAACTCATGAAAGCCCCCACCATTCACCCATGAGTGGGAGCCAGGGGGCACTCTTTATTTCTATTTTCTGGGGTCGAAGGGTCCCCTGGTGTGGAAGCCCCGCCTTTATTATTATTACTAAAGCCCCCACCCATCGCTGATGGGGGAACTAGTTCCCCCTTTAATATTATTATTAGAGCCTCAACCTGTTGCCCATGATTAAGGGCCAGGGGTAAGATACTAGCCCACCCATGAAAATTTAGGTAGCCCCCACCTGATGCCCATGGTATGTGGCCTTTCCTAAATAGTGAGAAACATTTAGGAGATATGCCAGGAAGATGGGGGAATATGGAGGTCCAATACCTCTATTATAGTAATATGGACGTCTTATTGACTCCTATAGGATTTTTATTTCATTTTAAAAAAACTTTTTTAATGATAAACGTCATAATCAATCCATGCGCCAAAGAGGATTTTGTTAACTGTTTGTCTGTTGGCTGCCAGCAGGTAAATACTACTTCAGATTAGTAATAACTTGCAAAAAGCAAGAGAATGATCATTTTTCGAATGTGCGACCTGATGCATTTGGTTTATCTTTGGCCAACTTGTGGTGGTTGATAAATGTGTTTTGTATTAATATATTAATATAAATATATGTACTTTTAGATGTTTTCATGCCTGCAATGGCCAGTTAATAAATTAAATAAACTCACTATATATGTCTTTTTTTGGGGGGGAGGGGACGGGGGAGCAAAGGGCACCTTCAAAGTCTGTTCTTGAATTTTGTCTGACATTAGGGTTGGATCCATTCAGACATCTATGAATTCTTCATTTTGTTGGGAAGAGCTTGAGATGTTGGGTTTGTGTGCACCTGGCTGAACGTAATAAATAAATCACAAGTGTCCTTAAAAAAACGTCATGGTGGTCACCCTCGCTGGCATGCAGGAGGTCATGGTATATATGTAGATTGCCAGCAGCATTTTAAATCTGATTCACAATGTAAATAAAGAAGGAAGAATTTCAGTAAATACTAAAGATGTAGTACCACTAGCATATGATGCCCAGAATATTCACTTTACAATCTATGTAACATTGAGCAGAATCGGTTCATATTTAGGTCAAATAAAAGCTAAGATAACTTACTCCCTTTTGGTTTTTTAATTGACAAAACCAACAGAAGCCACTTAATCCATTTAAACCTCATTTTTATTTTCTCTATTTTTTTTCATCTACCTCTAAAGAGCAAACATAAAATGAGACAAGAAATGCTTCAATAACGAAAGCATTTGGTCTACGAGATGGGTGGGGGGGGGGGCATTTTGAAGCATCGCCTCCTCGAAAGGTGAAGCCCGTGGCCTCTTCCTCAGTCTATTTAACAAGCTCTGAGATGTGTAACTACATTATCTGCACGGCTGGTAAAGAGCGCTTAGGGAGGATTTGTGGGTCTGCTGAAAGGACAAAGAAAAATGTTTTCTAATAAATTATTCACCATCTTACAATCCCTTTTGGGCAGATAGCTGCTCTGTTTGCCCCGGCTCTCTCTGCCTACATGTTCCTCGGATTCGAATACAGAGCATTCACACCTCTAGAGAGAGGCTGAGAACGGAGACAGGCAGCTGCAGCTAATGGTTCCAATTAATAACTTGTCATAATCCTGAGGATGGAGAGAGGCCATTCTGCTCCATCAGCAGTCAGCTTAGACATCTTCGGCAAAGCAATCGAAGGTGCAGGTGTTGTCCAGGTTTTGACAGAGCCAAGTCACAGACTGCACTAGTTCTCCTGCTGCACGGCTTTCTGTACTAGAAGCTACTCCACCAGGTGCCATCACCATGCAGAGCATATTAACCCTTTAATTCCATGTATTTCTCCAAGCCCGGGCTTTGCTAAATTTCTGTCTGCTGGCTGAGCATCTTCAGAGCCATAGTCCACAGCAGATATAGCAGTTACAAAAGGATTAATGCACAGGGTTGCTTACTAAAGTGTGAATTTTTTCTGGAATTAAAAAAATGAATCTAAAATTTTAGACAAATTAGCCAAACTGAATACATAGTGAACTTGAAGGTTTTTTTCCCTTTGTGGCCTGAAATATGAAATTCACTTTGAATTTCTGACAATTTACTTTAAATAATACTGATGTGTTATGAGTGAGAGATGTAAAAATAAAGAACAAATAAGATTCCTCAGGTTAATCCTCCAGACGCACGGAGGAGCTATGGGGCAGGGGGAATGAGATGCATGGAGGGGCTGGGGGGTAATGAGATGCATGGAGGGGCTGGGGGAGAATGAGATGCATGGAAGGGCTGGGGAATGAGATGCATGGAGGGCTGGGAGAATGAGACGCATGGAGGAAATGATGCATGGAGGCTGGGGGAGAATGAGCATGGAGGGGGAGATTTGGGGAGAAATGAGCATGGAGGGGCTGGGGAGAATTAAACACATGGAGGGGCTGGGGGCAAATGAGATGCATGGAGGGGCTGGGGTGAAAATGAGACGCATGGAGAGGCTATGGGGAGAATGAGAAGCATGGAGGGGCTGGGGAAATGAGACGCATGGAGGGGCTATTGGAGAATGAGATGCATGGAGGGCTGGGGGAAATGAGATGCATGGAGGAGCCATGGGGGAGAATGAGATGCATGGAGGAGCTGGGGAAATGGAATGGAGGGATATGGAAGGAGGAGATGCATGGAGGGGTTATAAGATGCATGGAATGGGGAGAATGCATGGAGGGCTGGGAGAATGAGGACCCATGGAATATGGAGGGGCTATGGGAGGAATGGACGATGAGGGGCTATGGGGAGAATGAGACGATGGAGGGGCTATGAGGGGAGAATTAGATGCATGGAGGGGCTATGGGGAGAATGAGATGCATGGAGGGCTATGGGGAGAATGAGATGCATGGAGGGGCTATGGGGAATTAGATGCATGAAGGGCC